GTGGCGTGACCCTATAGCCAAAGCGTGCCGAACGCGCATACTGCGACAGCCAGAACAGCGCATATCACAAACCAGTGTGTTCTCCGTTGTGTTTTAGCGCAGTCTGTTTGTGGATTTAAATTCAAAAACAAGGGCAGGTTGGTTCATTTGTAGTCTTCTCAGTCCGAAGTTGAAGTATGGTTGGCTGCCGAAAGAGAATAAACCAGATTCACCTCCTCCAACTCTTTCTTTAGGGGCGGAAGTGATGCGACCTAGGTCTATGTGCGACAGACCTCACAACTATCCGCGAGGGAAGTAGGCGAAGTATTCTTTTAGGGTTGCCCAAAACACCACCAAATCCATCTGTGTACGGTGTTTATATTCGATAGTTTTAAGCTTCCTTTAAGATGGCGGAAGAGCAAGTCAGTAATTGTTTAGATGAATCCTTACACTTCATGAAAACGAGGACATATTTTGGAAACAGTTAGTCCATTGTCAGAACGTAAAGAGGAGCTCTAAAACAACAGCTTTGCACAGATAACAAACTGCTGGAGACCGGGGGCATATAGAGAAGAAGCTTAGAACAAGGCGATTTTCGCAAAACATTGCGCACACTGAGGAGGAGAATGAGCAAGAAGTCACAGGAACACTCTCAAAAAGACGTGTCGTCCAGTGGCAGGATTCCAAGGGTGTTCCGTACAGAATGAGGCAAACCTGTCTGTATGTTCCCTTACCAGATACAGATGGTCCAAAGGCTGATACTCACATCTATCTTATTTACCCTGAAGCTTTATCGAATATTGATGTAAAAACATCATATATTCTTTTAAATTATTCATGGCAGACAAAGCCCACTTCAACAGCAAAAAATTACCTGGCTACTATACAATTAGTGGATAAGTAGTCGACGTAGGGTGACCGGACGATATATTTTATGGCCGTACTGCTTTGGAAATGAGCTGGGAAATTCAGTGACCGCCGTCCGGTAGTGTTGCCGGAAATTTTGTATCCGAGCTGAGTATGTTAACCCTGCAGAGCACGTTGTTCCAACAAGCTAATTCCATGCCCACAGTCCACGTGACAATGGATGCACTGAGGCAAGTTCTACCGATGGGCGTAATCACGAGAAAAAAAAACAATTTAAATCGGCCACCGCTCCCGGCATATTTTTTATTTGGAGTGATTTTAACTCTAAGGTGCACATCAACAAGTCGGTAGAACTGCATTAGTCCAAAGGAAGCATCGAGTCGAACCGGCAGCTCTAGCACAACCTGGGACATGCCGCAGGGAGGGCTTAAGTCTGTCAGCACCGGTACGACAGACACTTGCCTGGCGTCATGTTCAAACCTCCCACTTGCTGCTAGCCGTTTCCCTTTTTGTGTTGGTTCAACACAAAGAAGATGATAAATTATAGGACACTCAAGATAACCACACCTTGCAGGCCATCGCTGGTTTATCCGACTTTGTTCATCAAAACTAAACACACTTTCAACTGCAGAACGGAAAAAAAAAGTGTAGAAATGACATCTACATGGCCGCAGGCAGACATCAGAGAAAGCTGAGGGCGGGAGAAAGGTGTAGGACTTACAGCAACCCGCTGGTTGAAGATGCTGCGAAAGAGGCAGAAGGCGGTGTCCGCCGGCACGTAGTACTCGCCCATCATCTGCTCGAGGGGTAGACACTGGGCCTGCATTTCTTCGCGTGTCATTTGGAGACTGAGGAAGGTGATAAATTGCACCAGCGTTCCCTGACACTGTGTGGGAGAAGGAGAGAGAGAGAGAGAGAGAGGGAAGGTGAGCATTGAGTATGCGGAGAGACAGCGCATAGACAGCAGTAGGCTGGCACTGAATAAGGATCGTCAAGTATGTTGCAACTTGTGTCTTTTTTAATCATAAACATGGTTTACCCGAAGATAGATGTACTAAGTGGGGTAGTCGAGACAAGCATAGAAACGCTATGTGGCGTGCCGAACAGCTCTGGAGGCAGGCTTGGTGTTAGGATCGTCAGCCCAAGATCTGCATTATCAAATCTTAGCCAAGGAGATAGTCGAAGTCATTTAGCCATGTCGGTGTGACGAGTTTTTCACCCAGGTTTAATTCGAAGGAAAGGGTTCGTCAGCCCACTTTTTAAGACTTATTTTACCTTGTAAGTGCGCTTTCTAAGAAGCCTGCTTTGGTTTGTCTGTTGTTTTTTTTAGGCGTAAGCCCTACAGAAGTTAACGTGCACTTAGTTGATGTTTCGAACACCCACATGAAACTTGACATTAACAACTTAACGTTATCGCTTACTTACACCGGGTTGGTCCAGTTAAGTCAGTAGCAGGCCCGAGAAACCGTGTGCAGGCCTGCATGGCCACAGACACAGCAGTCGATCAAGCCAGGAACTTTAAGTGGGCCAACTCGGAGCAGATAGAATGTAGTAGACAAATATGTGTTATTTGAAGATAGAATCTAGCATGAGCCCAAAAGTACCTTCTTTTTGATTGAATTTTCGGTAAAGATGACTTTTATAGCCCCTGAAACAGGGTACAGAAATAGGAACGCCCTGTCCAAAATAATAGAGATGGCCTTGTGCGCATTATTTCAGGAAGCACAAATATTCTGGCGTCCTAACCTAAACCGTAACCAGTCTTAACCCTAAGCCTACAGTTAGGTATGACATGAACCTTAACGCTAATCATAAACCTAATGCTATTTTTCCACAATTTGACGCAAAAACACCTGCGTT